TAATTATTAGTTCTTATTATATGTGTAGTATTACTTCTCTTCAATAAAAACTCCAGTAAATATTTCAGTAAAGACTTCAATAAAGACTTCAGTGAAGACTTTAATTGCACATAGTAATCCAAACTATATATCTAAAAAAGTTTTTTATATACTCCTTTCATTAAACTCTATAAAAAAAAAAAACAATCTTCAAAATAAATTTACTAATTATTTTTTTTATCCAATGGCAAAAAACTGGTCTGGTACTTCGATCTTTCTTCTTGCTATAAAAGTTTCCTTCACCCATTGTTGCCATTCTTTCCAGAGCGATATATTCGTGAAGATACAAAACAGCTCAACTCCAATAAGACTTGTTGACATTTCCGCGGCAATTATTAACCAGAAAGGTGGCATGTATTTTGCTGCGATTTTAGAACATTCATCTTGACCTAGATCTTGTTGAATACACGTTAACCATTCGCCAAGAAAATCTTGTCTAGATGGACCTCTTGATAAGTCTCCCAATTCGAAGAAATAAAAGATCCAATAAAATATCACCGTTAAGAGGAGTAATAAGGCTAATAAAAGTGCTCGCCATTGAATTTTTAAAACTTGAATTACGTGTCGTTTGTGAGATGCGATATCGGAAAAAGAAGTTTCACCGGATTTTCTCTTATAATCTTCTCTAGAGATCTTTTTTTTTTTAAAAAAAAAAAGAATAAAATTATTATATTATTATTGTTATTAGGGGTCTGCAACCCGGGTTCGTGCCCATGCCCAACAAAAACTCAGGCATGGGCATGGGCATGAGCATTGGTCCAAAATTTGACATAGGCATAGGCACAGCCACAAAAATTTGTCATAGGCATAGGCACGGGTACAAAAACTTGGCATGGGCATGGGAATGAGCACAAAAATTTAATATTTATTAGCATATTGTGCTGTGCCTATAAAGTACCTGACATTTGTGCCTATGCCTATAAAAATGCCGGCATTTGTGCCCATGCCTATAATAATTCCTGGCACTTTTGTGCCTATAGGTATGGGCATGGCATGAGACACTAGTGCCTGGCATGGTGCCAATATGCCCGGCATGGGCATTTGCAGAGCCCTAATTGTTATGATTATTTTAAATGAAGGATAGGCAACGAACTTAAGGTGTAATAATTATGTACAATAATTATGTACGAGAATGATGATAATACCTTTGCAATATGGAAAAACGTGGCCATATGTATAAAGAAACTAGGAACCACGACTGCTGCCAATGGATAGAAGAATATGAGGTTTGCCTTTGATTGTTCAACCAAACACAAAGTTGCAAATTGATACATAACAGCCCTTGTAGCCAACGCGATGATTGTAAGAACCAGAGGCCCCCCCCATCCGGCCAAGTGAAGTAATAAATATTTTCTACCAATTGCGTTGGAATTCCAAACAGTATGAAAGTGAAGATTTACGATTATTATTCCTACCCAGTTGGCCGTTGCATGTGATGCGAAAATCAACCAGGCACCTGTTTAACGATAAATAATAAATAGAATAAATAATTTGTAAAATTATGAATAATCCTAAAAAAAAATAATAATAATAAAATAAAAAT